CCTTAACACAAAACCCTAAACCCTAACTAAACCCTTAACACAAAACCCTAAACCCTAAACCCTAAACCCTAAACCCCTTAACCCCTAAACCCAAACCGACACCCGAGCCCTCGCCTCGATCCCGATAGATCAGAGCCTTCGAGTCGCCCAGGTTGGCCAAGAGCACGCGGAAGCCCCCTCAAGGTTTAGGGTTTAGGGTTGAGGGTTTAGGGATGTGGGTTTTGGGTTTAGGGTTTAGGGTTTTGGGTTTAGGATTTAGGGTGTTGGGCTTTTATGGTGTTGGGTCTAGGGATTTAGGGTTTTGGGTTTAGGGTTTGGGCTTGGATGGCTTCGGGTTTAGGGATTTAGGGTTTTGGGTTTAGGGTTTTTGGGTTTTGGGTTTTGGGTTTAGGGTTTTGGGCTTTGGGTTTGGGCTTTTATGGAGTTGGGTTTAGGGATTTAGGGCTTTGGGTTTTGGGTTTGGGCTTTTATGGTGTTGGGTTTAAGATTTAGGGTTTTGGGTTTTGGGTTTGGGGTTTGGGCTTTTATGGTGTTGGGTTTAGGGATTTATGGTTTTGGGTTTTGGGTTTGGGCTTTTATGGTGTTGGGTTTAGGGATTTGGGTTTTGGGTTTCGGAGGTTGACATCAGGGTTTTGAATAGGGTTTCGGGTTTAGGGTCTAGGGGTTTTAGGGTTATGTAGGGGCCTTGATAACTAGAATAGGGTCTTTGGGTATACCATGATATACGTATACTAAGCCACTACGCAACTCCCAAAATAGTATAGGTAATCATGTTGGGATCCGATCCAGGTTTAAGCTTCAGGGCCTAATGGGTCGGATTGTTCGATTGCGGGTCCTTCGGGTGTGCCGCTGGTCACTTCCTACATCCGGCAAGCGCAGCATCCCGGGTTTTAGGGTTTAGGGGCTCTGAAACCACACCTCAGCCCAGGAAAAACCCTAGTCTTTATGCCACAACGTCTGCAAGAAGTTCACTGTGCTGGGAGGCTTCTTGTTGCCTAGCAACGTTGAGCCCTAAAACCTAAACCGCAAGCCTTAGACGACAGCCCATCCCAGATATCCTCAGCAGCTTAATGTAGGGGCCTTCATAACTAGACTAGGGTATTGGGGTATCTCATAGTATAACTATAAGGAATCCCCCAAAAATAGCATGGGTAATTTTACTACAACTATAATAAGGAACCCCCAAAAGTTATTAAAGCCCCCATGTTACGCAATCTCTGTGAGGCCGGGACCGTTCTTTGGCCAAACCACCGCGGTGATGCAGGTGGACCCGCAACCTAGCCAGACTGCTGAGTCGGGGCCTAAAAGGCTGATGTAGGGGCCTTAAGACTTAGAAAAGGGCTTTTAGGCTCCACTATACATATAAATATAAATAAATAAATAAATAAATATAAATATATATATATATATATATATATTCAGGAACCCTAGGGAATAATATCGGTAGTTATGCAGGCCTCGATCGTAGACCAAGGGTTTGAGAACGATTACACGGGGACTACGTTGCCTCCTGGCACACGATTGCAAGGCATATCATAAGCCTTTCCCCTCCACGACAAAGGTGCCCACTGCTAGTTTTCTAAGGTTCTCGACGAACGATCGCTGCTGCAAGTTACGGCAATAACTTCAAAATCATCCACATAGGGCCGGGAAGAGCTCGAAATTGTTGTTTTCGCGGTGTCGTGCGATTCCCCGTGAACCTTCGGCCCCTCGATCCTATAAAGGCCGACTTCTCCGGTACTCTAAACGTAAAGCTTGAACCGGAAAGCCTGAACAGTAAGCCCGAAAGCCTAAACCCCTAAACCCTATGAATCCTAAGCCTAAAGCTAAACCCCCAAACCCTAAACACCTAAATCTCAAAACCCTTAACCGGATTCGAGGGACGATCACCCGCTCCACTCAAGCGTTCCCGTAGATGGTCATCAACGGAAGCAAAAGCAGCCTGATGCTGAGGGCTCGTCGATTTTAGGGTGTAGGGCTTTGCAGCTTGGCCGCAGGCCTTCGGATTTGGTTTCGGGTTTGTGTGTAGGGTTTCGGGCTTACCTTAAGAACCTAAAACCCACTTTTTTTGTAGGTTCTTATTATAAACCCTAATATGGGATTTATAGGGACCCTAAAAAAAATTAAGTTTTGGGTTCTTAAGGTAGGGTCGAGGCTTGACGATTCAACGTTTGAGTTGAGGCTTGCTGTTCAGGGTTCTTCGGCCATCCGAGCATCGGCTTAGGAGCGGAGCTATGCGTGTCACGGTGTGGGTTTAAGCTTAGGGTTTGTAGGTTGGTCATAGCTTTGCAGGTTGGGCATTGGGGCCTGTATGGCAGTAGGGTGTAGGGCTTGGGTTTAGGGGATGACTATGCAAAACATAGGCCAAAATAACTTTGCTGAAGGGCTTGGTGGCTTTGCACCATGAATGTCGTGTTTCATTCGGGGGCCCGGTGGAATAATTCAATGCGAATGATCCCCCCCCCGCAAAGTAACGTAGCATCTCATTGATGAAGGAACATACCTTACGTGCTGGGTAACTCTATGATTTCAGGTATGTTGCTCCCTAAACCCTCAACCCTAAACTCCTTAACTTAGGGGTAGGTCTTTGGGGGCTCGGCTCTTCCTGGAGCTTGTGGGAAGCTTTTGGGGCCTTGAAGGGTTTCCTTCAAGGGATCTACAGGGTTCTATGAAGGGTTTCCTTCAAGGGATCTACAGGGTTCTATGCTGGCGTTTCGAAGAGATCGTGTTCAGGGATTTGGGATTTGCTTTCAGCTTTCAAGGTGGCCTGCATGGCTGTCTGTGTGAAGCTTTGATGCAGAAAGCACTCGGCTAGGAGGATCCGAAACCCTCAAACCCTCAAACCCCTAAACCCTAAACCCCTAAACCCCTAAACCCTAAACCCTCAAACCCTAAACCCGAAACCCCTAAACCCTAAAACCCTAAACCCCAAATCCCTAAACCCTACACCCCCAAACCCCTAAACCCTAAACCCCTAAACCCTAAACCCCT